AATATTCCAGCTGAAATCTTTTCAGCTCTGCTGGTCGAACTCTCTGCCTCCGAGCAGAGAGGAACCCGGAGGAGGCTATGACGAAGGACAGAGTCTCGTCCGGGGAGGTAGACAGACACGAACCCGTTTATGCGGGTTCTATGGGGAATTTTTTTTTTCCAGAGCCTACTGGCTCGGAATCCCGCATTAAATTCAGCGTTGTAACATATGTGACTGAGTGAGCAGTTGCTAGATACCGTCTAGTTGAAATCTTTTCAGCTATGCAGTCGAATTCTCTGCCTTCAAGCAGAGAGGAACCCGAACGGGGCTATGCAGAAGAGCAGAGTCTCGTTCCGGGAGATGTTTATGCGGGGTCTACGGGGACGTTTTTCCCGAGCCTACGAGGTTGGAAACCCCATATTAAATTCGGCCTGTGCCAGACTCTACCCCGTGGGCAGGTTGGTAAATATATCTGTTGAGTACGACTCAGATTTACTTGAGAACTTTCCAATAGTAGCAATCACTACTGGATTGACTTGCAATGACCTTGTGCATAACTGTTACCTTTATTCTTATTGTACTGGTTTTTTACAAGAAACCATTACTTATTTTATCCACCGTGTTTGCCAAGTAGATATTCCTATTAGCACGGAATAAAACAGGAATTTGTCCAGAACTTTAGCGTTTTTCGCCACTGTTTCATTTGTTAAGCAATGGATTCATTTTAGTCTTTCCACTTCATGTCAACTGAGAAAGTTAACCCGACCAAGCACAACGTATCACTTTCCTGGGGGTTAGCATCAGCCATACTGATGGAAAGTAGAGATAGCTCTCTCTGATGATGTGAACAAAGTCTAACATTACCGTGTTCTTTTTCATTCGATTTATAATTTTGACACGGATTCCAATGCATAAAATATTAATATCACATAATACTGAAGACGACATAAAATATTTACTGCATAACGTATGACTGGGGCCTTCTATTTCGAACGAGCTGAAAAGGTCCAAAAGTTTGGGGACTTTTTTTAGGAGAGGCAGTTATAATTCCTAGATTATTGTATCATTACTCAATATCTAGTAAGCTCACCCGTCGACCGTTGTTATTTTAGATTGATGGAGACAGCTATAAAATGTTTTTAAATACACTCTACTAAACACCGCTTGTTACAGCGGAATAGTATAGAAAATGCAATCGAGACGTGTAGATGATTTTGGAACTAGCTATACAATAAAGATCTGTGTTTAAACTGAGAAAAATAACGCCACAGAAACATATGAAATTCTCCATACTGCTCATGGATTAAATTGTATATGAGCCGAGCAGCGGTTTTTCGCTGACACAAGATGTTCAGAGAGAGAAGACGTTGGAAGAAGAAGGATGTTGGTTGAGAAAAGTCGCAATTTTTTAGATGAAAACTGTCGTGTGTCTATAAAGACAATAAGCCTACAGTTTGAAGTTGGTGCAACAACCGTTTCACAGAACTATTCATAAGCCACGTACATTAGGCGATTTGAAGGAAGCTATTAGGCCAGATCGACAGAGCAATGATGGAAAGGGTGGAGGCCGACTTCCAAGAACGCCGTCAAAAATATATCAATGACAACGGGCATGTGGGATGTTGTTTTCCCCAACACTTGATTTTGTCAAATGCTAATTCAATACGAATAAAATTGATGCCAATAACATTTTTTTTGTTAAGCCACGTACATTGCTAGATTTGAAGCAACGCCCGTGCTCTCTAACTCACCACGTGGAAATTTCAAAGGTTTTTCTGTTTGAATTTTGCTCTTTCTTTCTTTCTTTCTTTCACGAAAATCAGACAGCGTCTCTGAGATGTCTTTTCTGTCTTTCCTGGTGGTCAAAATGGAACACTTCATTGTTTATGAGGAATTAATTGGGGATTTCTTTCTTTCTCTTTTTCGTTCTCTTTTTCTTTCTTTTTTCTCAATGAAATCGAACAGCCTCTCTGATGTCTTTCCTGTCGTTCCTTGTAGTCCATTATTTATTAGATATTAGTAGGACATTTCTTTCTTTCTTTCTCGCTGAAATCAAACAGCGTCTCTAATATGTCTTTTCTGTCTTTCCTTTTAGTCAAAAAGGAACAATCCATTATTTAAGAGGTATTGGCAGGGCATTTATTTCTCTTTTTCTTTCCTTCTCATTGAAATCAGACATCGTCTCTGATATGTCTTTTTTGGCTTTCCTCGTGACCAAAACGAAATACTCTATTAATGAGCTATGGACAAGGCGTAACGGACGTGCTAACGTAGAAAGTAGATGGCGCACATAATTATAATAAAGTGCGCATGAAAACCTTTAGGCACAAATTACTCCACCACTGACATGATATCTCCTAGAAAGACAAAATCAATATGGCTTCCGTTTCGCCAGGTCTACACGCTGATGTATTAACAGCCATCACTGAATATCTGTATCGAACTAGACAATAACAGCGAAGTTCGATCTGTGACTCTCGATATCTCGAAGGCGTTTGACGGGGTTTGGCGCGCTTGTCTTCTACGTAAGATCCGGGGCGTTGGCTGAATCTAGTGACTTGACCCAAAGAGTTGTGACTTCAATACCTGGCTACAGCACAGGTGAACAAAAGATGGAGATTTGAGTTGAATGATTTTGAGGTTTCCCCACAATAGATAAGCACACATGGACAAATCCGGGGGCCGATGTGGGGGTGCAAGCAGTGTCAGCAAATCTGGAAATGAAGCGGTCACCGAAGAGATGGCGAAGAACATCCATTGACGGTCTGGCTGTGTGGGCCGTCGTAACAGCATTTCCATTATATTCTCTAAAAAAAATAAGGACCAATGACACCAGATTTTCAAACAGTACGCCAAACCGTTACCTTTGAGCTATGCAGTGGTCTTTCATGCAGTTCTCTTGGATTTTCAAGAGCCCAATAACGACAATTCTGTCGATTCACCATGTCACTGAGATGGAAATGACCTTCATTCACTCATTAACAAAAATGTGGTAGCCATTTGACTCAAAACTTCCTTCCATCTGACATGCGAAGTTAAGCCGCTGTGCATAACCCTCCCCCCCTAGTCTCAGCTGTTGCCCAATGACCAATTTTTAGGGGGTGGAAATGCAGTTCTTCATGCAAAATAGTCCTTACCGAACGATTATTGATGCCAAGTTCAGTAGCAAGATTCCAAGTAGAATGATTCGCACTGTTCGGCAAAGCTTGTCTGACACATGTAAACAAATCAGGGGACCGAGGAGGCAAATGAGTGTCAGCAAACCTGGAAATAAGGCCGTCACCGAAGAGACAGTGAAGAACGTCCATTGATAGTCTGGCTTGTCTAGGCCATTGTCCCATCCTGCTGAAACCACACATGTTGGATAAAAATACCTTTTCATCATAATTCATGCACAAAGAAGTTGTTTACTATCTCGATGTAATGACACCAATTTTTCCAACATTACCCCAAACCGTCACTTTTGGGCTGTGCAGTGGTCTTTCATGCTGTTCCCTCGGATTTTCAAGAGCCCAATAACGACTGAGGAGGCCAAGGAGTGCCAGCAAGCCTGGAAATAAGACAGTCACAGAAGAGAGGGCGAAGAACGTCATCATGCCATTGAAATGGAAATGAGCTTGACATTAACAAAATGAGCTTGTCATTTGTCTCAAAAATTGCTTCCATCTGACATGCGAAGTTTAGCCGCTGTGCATAGCCCTCACCCCTAGTCTCAGCTGTTGCTCAGTGACCAATTTGTACGGTGGGGGGAATGCAGTTCTTCATGCAAAATAGTCCTTACCGAACGGTTATCAATACCAAGTTCAGTAGCATGCCTCTGAGTAGAATGATTCGCACTGCTCAGCAAAGCTTGTCTGACACATGTAAACAAATCAGGGGACTGAGGAGGCCAAGGAGTGTCAGCAAATCTGGAAATAAGACGGTCACCGAAGAGAGGGTGAAGAACGTCCATTGATGGTCTGGCTGTGTGGGCTGTCGCACCCTCCTTCTGAAACCATACACGTCGGATAAATATACGTCCCTCGCGTAGTGACCGTTTTTATTGATGCATTTCTGAAGGCCTTCTTGAAAGCTGACCTCCACTCTTTTCAGCACTGACCTGTCGATTTGGACGACTTCCACGCGAATAGCTTCCTTCAAATCGTCCAGTGTACGGGGCATATGCTGATATGCATGTGCCTTGAGGTTTCCCACAAGAAATAATGGCACATGGACAAACCAGGGGACCGGAGAAGGCAAGGAGTGTCAGCAAACTTGGAAATGAGGCGGTCACAGAAGAGAGGGCGAAGAACGTTCATTGATGGTCTGGAGGTGTGGCCCGTTGCCGCCTCCTTCTGAAGCCATACACGTCGAATAAGAATACGTCCCTCGCGTGGCGACCGTTTTCCTTGATACATTTCTGAAGGCCTTCTTGAAAGCTGGCCTCCACTCTTTCCAGAATTGACCTGTCGATTTAGACGACTTCCACGCGAATAGCTTTCTTCAAATCGTCCAATGCACGGGACATATACTGATATACACGTGCCTTGAGGTTTCGTCGTAATTCAGCCACAAAGAAGTTATCATCAAGTTGTAATGTTCGGAGTTCACAGTAACAGAATTTTCGTTAGGGCCTTCAAAAGAGTAATATACAATGACGCCATCTTTTCCAATCGTACACCAGATCGTCACTTTTGGGCTGTGCAGTGATTTTTCTTACAGTTATCTGCGATTTCCAAGAGCCCAGTAACGACCATTCTGTTGATTAACCTTGACGTTGGGATAAAAATGAGCTTCATCACTCATTAACAAAATGAGGTTGCAATTTACCTTAAAAAAATTGCTTCCCTCTGAAGTGCGAAGTAAAGCCACAGTGCATAGTACCCTGCTCTGCCCAATGACCAATTTGCAGGGATGGAAATGCAGCTCTTCATGCAAAATACGCCTTACCGAACAATTATCGATGGCATATTCAGTAGCATACCTCCGAGCAGAGCGATTCGGACTGTGCAGCAAAGCTTGTCATCTTCTGGGCTACGTACCGTTCGTGTGGTCCCCATTGCTCGGGCTTTTCATTTGGGTACCTCGCGTACGAAGTGCATGGACCCAACGAGTGGTAACAGTTTGATTCCAGCGAATGTTGAATTGGCGACGAATATCACGCTGAACTGCTGTGGCAAAATCGTTATTCTTCACGAAACTGTCGTTGGCGAACGGGCGGCGTTCTATCGTCCACAGCAACATGGCTTCAACTGAAAAAGCAAATGCTAAGGTACCCCGGACGGAATGGTACCTGTACGTACATATATCCCTGCCCCCTAGTAGTCATTTCAAAAACATCCGTCTTCTCTTCCAAACCCTATACTTTATAAAACTTTAGTTTGTATCAAGGTGTACGGAACAGATATATACTTTTTTTTAATATATATATATAGAGAGAGAGAGATGAAATTAACCCCTCCCTATACTCTACCTTGTCTCTTTAACTACAACTCTCACCCTCCCTGTTAAATTACAAAAATTACACTACCCATCAATTTTTAATCCCATTTTTCCTTTCATTTCGTTGTTGGAATTGTTATCTGATGGTCCGGAGTCCTTTAAAAAGGATTTTGGTGAAATAAATTATTGTAATGGTACCTTAAAGTGGTCTGTTTTTCATTATATATATATATATATATATATATAACTCACTCATGTCTTCTCTTTCCCCCTTCACTTCCTTAATTTACATATGTTTAATACGGCCCGTCAAAAATGTATAAATTTCTTTGCATTTTTTGTTTCAACCTTTGGAAGTAAAGTCTGATGATCCGCAGTCCTTTTAAAAGGGCTGTGGTGAAATAATTTATTACATGGAACCTTAAAGTGGTCTGTATTTATTTAAATTATTTGCTCTGTATTTACATTGAGCTCTCTGGAAAGAAAATATATAGGATTATTTACCTAACGAGTTCTTTCCTATTTTCTATATATTTTCTTTCCTATTTTCCATATATTTTCATACACACACACACACACACAAATATATATATTGAATATATATATATATTTATATATATATATATATATATGTGTGTGTGTGTGTGTGTGTGTGTGTGTGTGTAAAAGTGAACATAGAAGCAATCACCAGGCGGCGTGACGATTGCATCTAACATGAAACAGCCTGTCGCCTCTGAGTGTTGACTTCTGTGTTCACTTTTATATTTACATACGCTCTATCTCTGATGTTGAGCACTTTATCCCATAAACATAGCACATCTTAAAACTATATTTCTTCATATATATATATATATATATATATATGAAAAACTAGGTAATACGTATGGATAAACCCAAGCAGACATTTGAAAAACATGCGTCTTCTCTTCCTCACCCTGTACAAGAGAAGCTTTTAGGTTGTATCATGGCTTACGGAACAGATATATAATTCTTTTTTAATATATATATATATATATATATATATATATATATATATATATATATATAAAGAAAAGATTATTTGCTATCTATATATATATATACATATATATTCAAAGAAAGATTCTTTGCTCTTTGGTAAAATATCATTCAGAATAGTCAGAACTCGATAAGTCTTTTGCGCTTAACGTGTCGACACATTTCTCTTCGAATTCCATTAATAAACTGCGAAAGAACGAAAGAAGTATAAGAAGAAAAAAAAGGTCACATAAAAATCAAGCTGAATGGCTCTGACCGTGTGCCAATCGTCCCTTAGGGCAACGTCATTTCCTGCCCGTCATCTAAATGCAAATGTCTGTGGCGCCCACCTCAGCGGAGATACAATGTTGCTAAAAGCCAGGCCTACTCCAAGGCGTGAATTGATGGAAAATTTGGTCCCTTTGATGGTGACAGACGCCAGATGCCGACGAGCTAGTCATATGCGCGGGAGCGTTTGTTTCGTTCTGTAATTTCGCTTGGAAAATGCAAGTGTAGGAAGGGGTGGCTGGAAAAGAGTGGTAGGGAGGAAATAAAAGACACCGAGGCGTTTCTTCGAATCGGGTAAGTAATGGCGTCTCTCATGGCGGTCACGTACTTTTAATTCAGAACCCAAGCCGAACGGCACACGCTTCAGATTTATTGGTTTTTCGATTTTGCGGGGGAGGTCGATGTTGTGGCGCTGTGCGTGGTGGTGTGGAAGTTAAAAGGGGGTGGGGAAATTCGCGGCGTTAGATTTGTGGCTAGCTCTGGGGCTGTGGGTGTGTCGGGGATGCCTGGTTCCTGGGTTGATTCCAGCTACCGAACGGATTTTGTAACGACCGCATGTGCAGAGAACGCCATCGGGGGGGGGGGCACAGCTCGTTCGAAATAAAAGGCCCCAGTGATACGCTTATGCAGTAAATATTTTATGTCGTCTTCAGAAGTATATTGATATTTTATGCATTGCAATACGTATCAAAATTATAAATCGAACGAAAAAGAACCCGGTAATGTTAGACTTTGTTTACATCATCAGAAAGACCCATCTCTGCAGTATGGCTGATGCTAACATCCAGGACTATATTTAGTTGTCCGCCCATGATGGCGTCAGGTGGCACAAGGCCTTTTTAACGTGGGCATTTCCGAGCCATTAAGCTCGGCCAAAAAATAGCCCATTTGAACCCGTATAAACGGGTTCAGGGCCGGTTTTACCTCCCCGAAAAGAGACTCCGCCCTTCGGCGTAGCCTCCTTCGGGTTCCTCTCCGTCCGTAGACAGAGAGTTGAACCGAACCGTCGCTCAGAAAGGACAGTGACACGTTGCACCTGGACGGGTTAATTTTCTCAGTTGACATGAAATGGAAAGACTATAATGAATCCATTGCTTAACAAACGAAACAGAGGCGAAAAACGCTAGAGTTCTGGAGAAATTCCTGTTATATTCCGTGCTAATAAGAATATCTACTTGGCAAACACGGTGGATAAAATAAGTAAAGGTCTATTGTAAAAAACCAGTACACTAAGAATAAAGGTAGCAGTTATGCACAAGGTCGTCGCAAGTCAATCCAGTAGTGAGTGCTGCTATTGGAAGATCGGTAGTTCTCGTGAAATATGTACTACATGGTGAGTTAGAGAGCGCGGGCCTTGCTTCAAATCACCCAATGTACGTCGCTTATCAAAAAAAAAATGTTATTGGCATTATTTTGTTCGTATTGAATTAGCATTTGACAAAATCAAGTGTTGGGCAAAAAAACATCTCACATGCCCGTTTTCATTGATAATTTTTGACGGCATTCTTGGAAGTCGGCCTCCACTCTTTCCATCATTGCTCTGTCGATCTGGGCTAATAGCTTCCTTCAAATCGCCTAATGTACGTGGCTTATGAATGAATCTGTGAAATGGTTGTTGCACCAACTTCAAACTGTAGGCTTATTGTCTTTATAAAAACACGACAGTTTTCATCTTTCCTCAACCAACTCGGAGTTTCTGACGTCCTTCTTCCTCCCACATCTTCTCTCTCTGTGAACATCTTGTGTCGGCAAAAAACCGCTGCTCGGTTCATATACAATTTAATCCATGAGCAGTATGGAGAATTTCATATGATTCTGTGGCGTTATTTTTCTCAGTTTAACACAGATCTTTATTGTATAGCTAGCTCCAAAATCATCTACACGTCTCGATTGCATTCTTGATACTATAAGCGGTGTTTAGTAGAGTGTATTTAAAAAGATTTTATAGCTGTCGCCATCAATCTAAAATAACAACGGTCGACGGGTCAGCTTACTAGATATTGATTAATGATGTAATAATCTAGGAATTATAACTGCCTCTCCTAAAATAAGTCCCCAAATTTTTGGACCTTTTAACCTCGTTCGAAATAAAGGCCCCAGTGATACGCTTATGCAGTAAATATTTTATGTCGTCTTCAGTATTATGTGATATTAATATTTTACGCATTGGAATCCGTGTCAAAATAATAAATCGAACGAAAAAGAACACGTTAATGTTAGACTTTGTTCACATCATCAGAGAGACCCATCTCTGCTTTCTATCAGTATGGCTGATGCTAACCCCCAGGAAAGTGACACGTTGTGCCTGATCGGGTTAACTTTCTCAGTTGACATGAAATGGAAAGACTACATTGAATCCATTGCTAGGTCAGCTGCTAAGAAAGTTGATTCAACGTGTCGTCTGAGACTATTTTCTCTTCAGAATCAAACTTAGGTATCTATAAGTCTACCGTTCGTCCATGCATGTAATATTACTATCACGTGTTCCCCTGCTATTTACCTTGAGCTTTTTGATACAATCCAAAAAAGAATCAGCAATATTATCGGTTTTGATCTGGCGGCTCGGCTTTAGCCACTTACCCACCGGCGTAAAGTTGCCTCTCTCTGTCCTTTCTATAAATAACTAGCAGTCGAGCCCGGCGTTACCCGGGGATGTAACAGTAAGAGATAGATCAAGTATCGACCATCATAAAGACTGAAAAATAAAATTGACAAAGATTATTGTTTAAGGTTGACGGACACACATGTCTTAATTAGTTTTTTTTTGGGAGGGGGTGTTTTTTTTTTTTTACGAATTGGTCAAACCCAAACTCAAACAAAAACATTGTTTTCAATCGTTATGAGTCTACCGATTGAATAGAATTTTATTATAAACAATTGTCTTGTAAATGGAATTTTTAAAGCATTCTGAATGTAAAAATAAAGAAAAAAGTGTGTAAGACAATAAGAAACACTACCTGCCAAAAAAAAGCGAAGTTTTGTTTAAATCGGTTGAAAAATGTAGGAAATCCAATCCAATATATAAACGTACAGACACACACACACACAATCTGTGTTTTATAATAAGTAAGATTTCATGGTAGGTAGAGTAATGGATAGCGGCTCGGACTGAGGTATCAGAGAGCCGAGTTCGAGTTCCAGTCGAATCCATTACATTCCCTTACGTGCTAATACCCTTGGGAAAGTTATGAATCCTCTTCTTCTCCCTCCACCTATGGGTAAATAGCAGGACAGACTGGGTTCTATAGCCTTGGATGGCAACTGGTATACTTCAGAAAGAAATGGCAACCGACAGATGGAAAAAAAATCTGCCTTGTCAATCATGTATCGAAAGATACATGATCGCCTACGCGTGTATCAGGCATGGGACATAAGTGACTAGATTGGCATCGATATCTCATCATTTAAAGTTGAGCTGAATAAATGTAACCGTAAGTTCTATGCTAACAGTTTCTTCTTTCGCACTTCTTACTTGTGGAACTCTTTTCTGGTTCCATGCCCTCCAGCCAATTTTAATCTGCAAATA